GCTATTATGTCCAGGCAATTTAAAAGTCTTTGGAGCACTGAGAGCATCTTCAGGAACAAGGAGCTTATATAAAAATGTAACTATTGAGCCAGACTCAATCTGAGTAGGTTTTAGAAAAACGCAGGAACTCATTTCCAATATCAGTTTTCTCATCTGTCAAATTAAGGAGCTGGATTAGGTGGTCCCCTGGGTCCTTCATACATATAAACTACTATAAATCATTTGAGAACCACTTTTACATTAAAACCTTTAATGTACTGTAAATGGCTCCCCAGTGGTTTGAAAAAGTTTTTTGTGTTGATAGAAGCGCACAACCCAAAGACTTACTTTATTCTAGTTTTATCTCTTTTGTCATTACAATAGATCATTTCCAATCTTATGAGAACATTCCCCGTAGTTAGGCAATTAAGAGACTTTTTTTTTCTTATATCTGGCATCCCGGGAACTGGAAACCTCACTTTCTATACATTCCATAGCATGCATTTGATCTGCTTGTATTTTGCATGTTGGTAGTATCAGTATTTCCTCATAAAAGGAGTTGCATCTGTTTTCAATTTGTTTTTTCTTATGGGTGGATAAAAAATGATTTGAGTCTCCTAATGTAAGTCTGCACTATATCTTTTCCAACCAGTAATATTATGATACAAGGTAATCTCCTTGTGAAAGCTCATAAATGTTGATGAATTGGAAATGATATTGAAAGTAAACCAGTACCTGCTTGTATTCTGCCATAGTTGAACACACTGGCCTTGTGAAACTGCAACTATATTAGAAAGGCTTCCTTCCATCTTGCTAAGGACACTTACAACTTAGAGACTTGCATGAGTTTTCAAGGGATGGCTGGATAGATGTCTAGCATTGCATCAGAACCTGTCTATATTGTATTTGAAGGAAAAACATATTTGAGGAATATCCAGTTGTGGGAGGAGTTATATAAAAATCACCTTTCCTTCCATTTCCACTTGATAGTTACAGCATTTTCTCAAATGTGAGATGCCATGCAACTCTTAGTGGTACTTGTTTTCTAGTCTTTTTCTACTGACAGTCATTTATGACCATGTTGTGTGTATTCCCTTCAAAGTACAAATTCTGTCCATTTTATCCAATTTCTCTCTGCCCTTTGCCCTTTTCTGTTCCATATACAACATTATCCTCATGGTTATTTATTTTTAGTTACATTTATCAAATGCTTTATCTGATCCTAATAAAATCTTTTCTCTTTAGTAAAGAAGATCCTTGAAGTGTTTCCTATACTGACACGACAATTTCAACAGTGATTATATATATATATATATATCTTACTAATATTAGTAAGATATATATATATATATATCTTACTAATATATATATGCTTTAAATATTAGTTACTGTCATTATGGTCTCTGTTGCTAATAATATAGACATATTTATGGAGAAGACCCACTCATAGCTTTGTAGGCATGATCATTAAAAATCCATTTTCAAACACTGTCAATTACTTCTCTAGACAACTTTGCTGGTATATGTATTATATGTAAAATTCAGATGCGTTATAAGATTAAATTGTGAAGAAATGTATTGCTTGCTTTAAAATGATTAGCTATATTAGATACAAGTTTGTGTTGAATTCACTTATGAAACATTTCAAGTTTTTCTTTGTGATAGATTACTTCCAGTGGCTCACTCTTTTTAAAATTTTTTAATACATTTTTAAATAAGTTTTTTATTGTGAAAATACTGTACAGAGGGGTTACAGTTACATGAGCAAGGTAATGAGTAATTTCTTATCAAGCCTCCTCCTTTGTTTTTCCTCTACCATCCCTTCCCTCCCACCTCCTCAACTACACTCCCCCCTTTCCCCATGCCCCATGCCCCTCTCTCCCCCACCTAAATTGTAAAGTTCATTTTTCAATATAGTGTCTTGTACATCTCATTGTTGTAGTGTCAACCTGTATCCCTATTTAAACAATTTGTTTTTTCCCTTCCCCTCCCCAAATTAGATGGACATCAAATACAGTGAAAACAGGTTATACTGTGGGGGAGGGACATACAAAGCAACAAAAAATTACATGGCACCCTATAAATACGTTGGAAACAATAGCAAGCAAGAAAAAATACTTGTTTTTTTATTGTAAAAATGCTGTACAGAGGGGTTGCAGTTACATGAGCAAGGTAATGAGTACGTTTCCTATCAAGCATTGTTACCTCCTCCTTTGTTTTTCCCTTACCCTCCCTTCCCTCCTACCTCTACAACTATACTCTTCTACTTAAAATACTTCAGTAGTTTGTGAAGAAATCTCCATGTCAGAGCCTGATCTCATGCTCATCTACTGCCTGGTCCTGATCAGCTTCCAATCTCCTTTTGGCTTATCTTTATCTGAACACTTCTCTGCAGCTGGATAGACTCATTCCTTCTTCCAACATACTTGTACTCTTCATCTCTGTGCATTGGCTCAGATTTCCTGTGCTACCTAGTCTGAATTTGTCTCTCTGTTTCATTTACCAAAAAAATCTTTCTGTCTTTCATAGCCTGATTATTTTGCTTTGTCTGTGAAGTCAGTGTTGAAATACATAACCAGCGCACGAAAAGGGGATTTATTTGGAGTTGGAGGCAACTAATACCATTATAATATCTTCTATGTGGGAGGGTGGTGATGGAATTTTACAGTGATTATTTCAATAAGAATTCCTGGTCCACATAGCAACAATGAGATGTACAAGATGCTATGTTGCAAAACGAACTTAACAGCTTTGGCAGGGGGTGGTGGTGGTGAGGAGTGTAGTCATGGAGATGGGAGGGCAGGGATGGTAGGGGAAAAACAAAGGAGGAGGCAACAATGCTGGATAAGAAATGTACTTATTACCTTGCTCATGCAATTGTAACCCTCTAAATGGTATTTTCATGATTTAAAAAATCTTATTAAAAAAAGAATTCCTGGTCTCACAAATCCCCATTGCAGAACATTTTAGTGTGACCATTGCAGTTAACTGCCTTTGTCATTAGCACATATGTCTTCTTTGCCATTTGTAGAAGACAACAGTTCATTTTACACTTACAAATAAAATGAATTTTGATTCTACAACAGTTAAAAACATGTATGAGAAAAACATATAAGAAAGCTATACTAAATAGCTCTCCGAGACGAATACTTACTAAATATTGACTAAAAGTGCCTGGCAGAGCAACTCAAACAATGAGCATTTGTTTTATGCTGAACTTAAATACTGTTAATTATGGTAATATTTTAAAAATATTTTTCTTAATCCTTGACAAATTAAAAAAGAAAGAAAAGTAAAAGGAGGTTTTTTTTTTTTTGGTAGAAAAGTGGATGCTGGTGGTTCTGATGATTGGTTCATGTTTGTTATCCTAACTGATTAGGAGATGGAAATGTGGAAGATGGCTATTTGAGGCCAATATAGGTACAAAGTTTGTGAGACCTTCTGAATAGTATAATATGTGCTTCATCCCAGCTACAAGGAAAGCTGAAATAAGTAGGATCAAAAGTTCCAGACTACCTTAGACAAAATAAAAAGTTCATGAGACATTTCAACAAAAACAGCTGAACATTGTAGCTCATGCTTGTCATCCTGGGTGTTGTTGGGACATGTAAATAGTAGAATCAAGGTCCAAACGAGACTGAGTAGAAAGCGAGATCTCCATCTCAAAAGTAGCCTGAACAAGAAGAGAAAAGGGCATGGCTGATATAGTAGACTACTTGCCTATCAAGTGCAAGGCACTGAAAAGGAGGAAGCTATTACACAACATTTGTTGCTTGGTTACTTAATTTGTGTCTAACTCAACTGACATTTTAAAACTATTTTTGTTTATTTTAATAGCACAACTGTATCTCTGTATTCAGCTTTGTTTAGTGTCTCATGCCTCAATACCAGAGAAATTGTCCTCAATGATAGGAAATCTTGAGAGACATTAAACAGAGACAGATGAAATAGATTACAGATTATCGTGATTTTATAATTAATTGTATCAAGATCAGTTAATTGCACTGTTTGTCTAATGGGGAATTGTTTGTGATACTGGAGAACATTTGTGGGAAGTGGCAGTTCTCCATGTCCATCTCTCCTTGTAACTCAGTTTTCCTAATAACTAGTTTACAAGAATGCACTTCTTAAATTGGTTCTAAAGTATTTTCCTGTTGTCATTAAATACAACAGTTACTTTTTTCATTGTATTGTATTCATTTTTATCCTAAAATTTCATTTTGTGATACTGCAGTTGTTTTTCAAAAATTAATATATTATAATATTATGTACTGTAATAAAACACATTTTATGTAATTGTGTTCCAAAGTAATGATTTAATACGTTAGAATTAGATTTGACAATTGACTGAATGGGTATCTTTTATTAATTAAATCAAAGAAGAAATGAAATTCAGAAAGAATGGAATAAAACAACCGTATAACTTTGGCACTACTGTTCTCTTTTGTAAGTTCCTGTCACTTCTTTTGAGTCGTGGTAAACTATTTATGATACCTATGTGCATTTCACTCTTCTAATTTTTCAAAACTGAATTTGTTTTAAATTTTCTAGTTCTGGGGTTTAAACATGGAGCCTTGGGCTTGCTGGGCTTTGTGCTTAGCTGGTTCTCTACCACTTAAACCAAACCATTTCTGTACTACATTGCTCTGGTTATTAAAAGTTTGGAACTGAACTCTCTTGGACTTTTCTGCCTGAGATGGCTTCAAATTGTGATCCTTCAACTTTCAGCCCCCTGAGTAGCAAGGATAACAAATGTAGGCCACTGATGCCTGGTTGGACTTCTCTGTTTAATGTTATTTCCTGATGGGACCACTTAACATTTAAGCAGAGATGAAACCAACATTTCATTCAGAATCTGTAAAAATCACAGGAAAAGCTTTCTTCACTAATAAATGAAATAAACCTTACCCCTCAGTACAGGTAGTGCCTGAGTCATGTGGTCAATTGGAGACCCTGAACTAGAGTAGGTATGAACTATAAATGTTTTCTGTTGTCACTTAGACTTTTTTTTTCTCTTACAGGTGTTAAAGTGGGTTGAAGAAGCAGTGCAGGCCTCCAAAGTTCACCTCTTATCCACAGATCATTTGACACAGGCTGTAAACACTTGGAAAATTCCTTTTGATCCCAGCCTCAAAGAGGTCACAGTATCTCTGAGTGGCCCTTCCCCAATGATTGAAATTCGAAATCCTTTAGGTGAGAGAAATCAACCATCCCATAGTCATGGACAAAGATAATAGCAGAATAAAAAGGTTTTCCCACTCTTTTTTTTTGGGGGGGTCCAGTCGCGGGGCCTGAACTCTGGGCCTCCGCGCTGCCCCTCAACTCTTCAGCTCAAGGCTAGCGCTCTACCCCTTGAGCCACAGCACCACTTCCGGCTTTTTTTTTTCTACTTATGTGGTACTGAGGAATCGGACCGAGGGCCTCATGCATGCAAGGCAAGCGCTCTACCACTGAGCCACCTTCCCAGCCCTTTCCCACTCATTTATGTCAAGTTAATGTTGAGTTTGTGGAGGATTTCAATCAATTCCAATGTGACTAGAAGGAATTTTTTAATAGTCTTTACTATTGTTGAAATAACATGAGATTTGAAAAGCTAAACCTTCTTTCACTCAAACAGATTAGATTCATACTGTATTTTAAATATTCAATGAAAAAATTAAATCAAAACTCAAGATATATTTGGTGAGATATTTCACAGTAACTTAGTCTATAAATGCTAGCATTTTATGTTATCTTTAAAAGAATCATATAAAACTTCATTAACAGCTGTCTAAATTTGATGCTCATTTTCTTTATAAGGTTTAATTTTGCAGAAGACAGTTGTTAAAAATCAAATTTAGGTTTCAGTATTCAGCTCATTGGTAGAGAATTGTCTGGCATGCAGAAAGCCCTAGTTCAACGCTCAGCACTGCAAAAATCAAATTTATTATTAGTGGAATGTTATAATTTTCCTTTTTTTTAACTACTATTTAAATACTATTTTATACCCATACTATTTGATCCCATTGTTGATTGATAATTGCAAGACATATTGACAAACAATGTAACAACAAATGTCACTTTTTGTAATATTTGTATTTAGAAATGTTTTTACTTATTGATAATTACAAAGTAGTCTTGTTCCCATTTTGACTATGGTAAATGTTGTAGACTTTTTTTAACCTATTGAAAGTACCAAGGCTGGGAAGGAATTAACTTAATTGTCTTCTTAGAAGAAAATAATTCCTAAAAGGCAATGACATTTGAAGTTGTCTTTTGAGGCAAGATCCACACTAGCAAACACATTGAAATATACCAAAAGGCCTTTTTTTCAAGACTTCTACTGGTTGGTCTGTTTTAAGTCACATTCCAATATAATAAAGTTCATGCTCCCTAGGAGAGGCTTGTGAGTCTCCTGATCTGGATGCTCAAACATACCTGGACCACTGCATTATGTTCTTACTGCTTCACAAAGCCCATGGAACACAATGATTGCCAATCTTTGGATTCCAACATAGAATGCTTACAACTTATTTGTTTATATAAAAGCAGATGTGGTCCATAGGAAGCCAAGAGTGAATAACTAAATGGTGGCTCAATTCCAAATTTGCTTTTTCTTTCTTTCTAGATTCCAACTCTAAGATTCTTTAGATAAATCTCAGATCAGGAGGAGATAGTACCATGCACTTCATTACACCCCTAGCTTTAATTATTCCTGTGATAGATAAAAGCCTTCTCCTCTGCTGTAGGGAAACTGATTCAAGTTTTGCTCTTTATACAAGAGCTTTGAGGTCAGTAATACCTTGAGTGATTCCCCAAAAGACCTGTTGTTCTGGTCTTCTTCTTTTCTTTTTTTTCTTTACTTTTCTTTCTTTTTTTTACAATCTTTGCCATTAATTATCTCAAGGGTTTGAATTTAATGTATTGGTAGCATTGTAATTATTATCTAGGTTGGTTTTGGAAATATGATTACCATTTCTCAGTGGTTCTTTTTTGTTTTTTGTGTTTTGTTTTTTTTTGTTTTACCATCAAATTGACATAACAAAAGGGAAGCTGTTACTTCAATTCCAATGTCCCCAAATCTCAAAACTAAGAATATTTCAGATATAAGTAAAATAAAACTTTGAATTGCAGCTGTAAATGCCTAGGTGATGTGCACTAGATATGGAATACATTTCACTACAGTAAAAAAAATGTTTCTGTGTTATTTGAACTCTGGTCTTACCCCTCGCTTTATGTAATGTTAAATTAGCTGACAGATTTAACAAGGAGAAGGATTATACTTGTTACCTCTATGTTTGTCTTTTAGGGAAACTGATAAAAAAGGGCTTCGGCCTGAATGAGCTATTAAATATCCACAACTCTGCCAAAGTGGTGAATGTGAAAGAGCCTGAGGCTGGAATGTGGACAGTGAAGGTACTGTTATTTCACAGAGTCTGTTTATTATTTTATTTTTTTACGTCGGCATGTTTGGCAAAGTACATACAATAGTTTATTTATATCCACTCTTGCACTCATGAAAAACACTTTCCACAAAAAGCAATGCACACAGTGTGCCTGGCTAGGAGGGGTCTTGATCACATGACTTTGGTAGTGTTTCTTTGATGACCAAGAACATCATTGATGCCACGCAGTAACACTTGAACATTTTTGAATAATTTTCCTATTATCAAATCTGTAGATGATCTTTACAATCTGCCTCATGCTTCCAAAACCATCAGAGCTGGAGCCAATGAGGAATAATGGTTATAGCCAGCGGCTCTGATGAGAACTGCCACAACCCTCAGCCAGATGTACTGATTTGAGAGCAGAACTTCTCTGTTCCTGGCCTTTCCTCCTCTGTCAAGCGACACTGGAAGCTTTTAATTTATAGAACTGGTCTGAGAATGAAAGCAAGATGAACTTCATGAATTATTTACCATGGTTTCTGGTTCAAAGCAAGATCTCAAGTACTGTTGGCTGTTGTTATTTTATAGATTTGTCTTCATTGTTTTTCATTCTCAAAATGGTTTTGATGTTCTTGAATTATGCTAAAAAAGTCTGTAGTGAAAGAATACCTCCTGTTTTGGCAAGGCAGAGTTAAGAACAGAAAGCACTTATTGAAGTTTGGGATGCCACAAGTCAGAGATGTCATTTTGCTGCAGATTGCATGTGGACTAGTAGGACAGATACTCTATGTGACTTTTCATCCTTCTCAGACTTTATAGTAGGGCCTGGTTTTATTTATCGCCCATTTTATTTATCTCCCATGATGTACCTAAGAGGTGTTTTCTTTTAGATCAAGTAAAAGCTGAGGAATTAATACCTTTCAGCCCTTGAAGAAATAAATTAATAATATAATACACTTTCAATCCTTGAAAGAATAAACATGTTGTCTACTGTGAGAACAGACTTAAAGGCATAGCCTTTTTTGGCCTTTTTTTTTCCTGTGTCATTTCCCTCTTCCTATCAGCATCCTTTGCATCTCCCAAGTAAACCACTTACCAGAATCCTGGGGGAGAATCCAAATGAAGATACTTCATGCAAAAGACAGTATTTCATGCACTGTTTTGTTGTTCATTGGCCAAGTTTCCCTTCATAAGAAATGGGATGTATGGGCTTGTCATTCATACAATAGAACTAACTGCTGTGCACATGTATAGGGATAATATATATTATAGACATGCAAGGGTACATTTTTACATGCCAGTCCATTCATATTCTGAAAGAATATCTATGTTTATTTTCCTATTTAAAAAGTGACAAAATGAAAATAATTTTAAAAAACTCCACTCAAGTGCTAGAATTTCATATTTTTTAAAACTCAGAACTTTAAATCCTATAAGGAAAAAGCCAAAACTATAGTATGGATATCTCTGAGTGGATATTATTAGGTAAGATGATAGGAGAAAAGGCCTTGAGAAAGCAGTTCTGGTAGTTTTTTCCTTTTTTTTTTTAATGAGTAGATCACAAGGTCCTATCTGCCTGCTTTATGAGCAGTTCCTTATACACAGTTGGTGCTCAGCATTTATTGGGTGCTTAGGGTTTACATATTGTGCTCAACATGTATTAGGTGCATTTAGCTGGCAGTGAGGAAGTATTTTCCTGTTATGATATCTTAAATAAATGTATCTTAAATTTAATATTATAAGTATTTTAACCAATTTGCCTGAAAGGTGATCAGTGCTGAGTCTGACATTCTAGTAGAAAGAAATACTATTAAATATTAAGTCTCTTTATCTCATAATATTCAAATTTAAGTTCTATATAAGTCAGCAGTAGCCTGAGCTAGAGGTCCACTGTGAGGTAATTTCTTGCTGCTTTCTGAATCATGAATTATCTGTTAATGGCTTTGAAACACAAGTGATATCATTCTATTCCTGCATATTATTAGTACTTTATTGTAAGACATGAGAACCTGTTTCCAGGTGATTTGGATGGCTACCAGTGATGTTTCCTCTAGTCAAACTCTTGCCTAGAGGAGGGATATTACATGACAGTTGTTTTATCTTACACTTAATGCTTCTTTCGGTAAACATTTGCCGAATGTCTACGTTCCATGCCACTTACTTAATGGGTGTTAAGCACATTTAATTGATCATTAGAACAGAAAAATAACCAGGATGAGTCTGGGAAGGAGGAGAGTGATAAAAAGATTAATTCTGAGACAGTGAAAATTCTGCTTAGATGAATCTCCAAATTCAGCCTCTATATTTAAGGGAAGACTAAAAAGACATGTTACCTATTATATTATCTTAGATTTATATCTAGTCCCCACAAAGAGCCTCCACTTCTATTTTATACCTCCTCCACTACAATTAATTGTAACATCTAAACAAAGGATAAGATTGCAGCATAACTTACAAATAATAAACTTAGCACCAATGTGAAAAATCTAAAAGAGCATATCAGAATGAGGCAAACAAAATGAAGATGAATCTATTGCCATGAATATTTTTGTTGACATTGAATTTCCCCTTTGGCTGGCTAAGAGTGGTAAGCATCTCAGACATGCGATATCTAGAGAAATGTCTGAGATTAGATAATGTCTCCTCCCTGCTATCTCCTATGCATTCTGCTATCTGGAAAGTGTCTTCTCTATCGCAAGTATTAATAATGGCTTTTTGAGTGTCTCAAAAAACAGTTTTTAGCCCAAGTATGGAGACTTTAGCCCAAGTATTATTTGACTTTAGCAAAATACTAAAAATCAGTCAATTGAGCCTTAATATTTCTGGAGATACTCCATCATTTGGTTTTATACTCTAGTCAAATACAATTTTGAAACACCTTTTCCTGCCTTTGCTTCCTTTTAGTCTTTTTCGCCTCCCTAAATTTCCCTTTCGTTTAGGCTGACTTGTAGGTTCAGCTCAAATGCCAATTCTTCCATCACACTATGCCAGGTATTTTCCTGCTCTAACATGCTCCTCTTTCTGCCTCTGGCTTTCAGCCATATTTCCCCCCTGTATTTCTCATTTGTATTATTTTCTTTCTTATATTGTCTTTATTGCTGTAGAATTTTTTTTCTTTCTAGGTTACCAAAGAGTAGATTTTTGTTACTCATAGTTGCCACAGTACTTAAGAAATTATAACTGGTGGTGAGTAAAAAATAAATGTGTTTATCCCAGTGAAGTATATGAAAGCAAGCACAAGAATTGGTTTAATTAACTTATATTTAATGTACTGGCACTTGGCACTTTACTGTGTCTGTGATTTAAAATACAATTAGTGTCTATTCCTTTTCTTTCGTTGTTTCTCCAGCAGGGATTTTATTGTGATGTATAATTGTGTAACTGACTCAGATGTTTTAGGATACCTCTGATGTAGGTAAAGTATGCTGAAAAAGAACATAGTTTTATTAAAAGCAGAAGAGGTTATTTTATTCTCCTAAATTTCCATTTGCAAGGAAGCTACAAATCCTGGATCTTATTTCTGAGAAGCAATATGAATTTTCCATCCAGGCAGCTGTATTTATATAGAGAGTATTGGAATATAACCATCCAAATTCTTCTGGGCCAACTTTTGTCCTATGCTCTTTCACAGAAACTCTCTGAGATTATATCGAATACTGAGTTCAGGTAATACAAAATGTTTCTATTAGCCTAAGATTACCAGGGTGATCATGTCATTGAACACATCTCACAAGGCAGTTTCCATTAAGTAAATTTGGTTGATGGCCTTTAGATAATCTCACAAGTAGAGAAGGGAAATGTACCAACCATGTGATTATATTGTTATTCTGACACTAGTAGAAACTTTTGGTTTTAGATATTTACATTGGTTATAACAGTGTACTAATCAATTTACACTGCATTTGTTCAGGATAACATTTCAGAAATAGTAATTGACATACACTGCTTAGGAATCACGATAAAATCATTTTCAAGTCTATGAAGAACCACACAGGAAGTTATGATACTACCCTTTAATTAATCTCAACTGGTGCTCCTGAATATCTGTGACGAGCCCTGGTATGATATTAATTCCATGTCTTGGGTCAAGGTAATGCATGATGGCAGATTTTTTCATGGAAAAATTCCCAGTTATTATAACTCACCAATATCAGGCTATTAAATAATAGGAAAGATCCCATTAATAAAAGATGCTTGTATACTTAGGTACAGATATAGCTGTACATGAGTATGTGCACTACATATTTTGAGGAATTTATTCTATGCTTAGGGGTAGAAGACGTTGTAATTCTTTAAGAGTGAATGACATGAAACAGCTCTATTGCTCAAATTTAGCTGAATGTATGAGTGCAGTAGGTTTTCTATTTAGTGCCAGGAGGAATTCTCACTGGTTTAACACAAGCAAGTCTTCCTCACTAATGATCTGTGGTGTCTGGTAGTGTGTTTTTCTTCCTGTAGTCAGGAACACAAGCTGATGGAACCCCGTCAGCATTTTCAGTCACCCCAGGAGGGAAATGAGATAAGAATGTCCATTAAATAAATAAAAGAAGGGATTTTGTATTATTCCTGTTTCATCCCAGAAATGACACACCTTCCTTCCTTTATCTTCCATTGACCACAGAAGTGACCATGGCCTGGTTCTGTGCTGGAACTGGCCTGTAATACCTCATGGAGAGTCAGGTACACATTTTTCATCCCAGCTATGTTTAATGGCATCAGATCTGGAACTCGAAATAAGCCATGAGGGGAATATTTACACTAGGAAAATTATAAAATGCCCCAAACTATGGCCTGTTTTTTTATTCAGAAGAGTTTCCAGACATAGCCAGACCTGATTCCTCCTAGCTGAAGGGACAATTGCAAGTGTAGAATGGCAACCGTGCAGTTGGAGAATATTATTGTCCTCTATGCCACAGGTTCCTAGTCAACCTAGAGAGTATATTATAAAATACTATGCCTAGAACTAGCTACTATAGAAAGAACATTGAATTCAGAACAATTGCCTTTTCCCTTACTGTGTAACGAAGGTAAGTGATAATTTCTTAGAGGTGCTATTGTTGTTATAATGCTTTAACATCATCTTGGCCTGTAACAGGATTATATAGGATAATGTGAACTTGAGATTCAATGAATTCCTGATGGCTTGGATCTTAGGGGAATGTAAGGAAAGTCATGAACACGGGGCAGTTGGGTGGCTGTGTACTGGTGAATATGCCATGCTACCATACTGAAGGAACTTTCAATGTAGGAAGGTATTTAGTAAGCCACCACTCTTGAGCTAAGTCAACCATCTGCAGTGGAGGTCTCTGGGAAGATCTGAGCTTACATCTCAGAGGAGCAACTCAGGATTTCCCTGGCGCTCTCCATGGTCCTTGCTCTCTAGTAATTTCTGCTCCTTCATTCCCAGCAATCTCATTCGAGTTCTGAAACCTAGACCCTTCTCTACTCTGCTTCCTCAATTTCTTTTTACTAGTTTTAGGTACAGGATACCTAGTTACTCAATATGCAAGTTTATTTCAGCATAAAGTGATCTTTGCCAGAACCTGGCCTGCTCACGATGTAGCCTGTGGATTCCAGCCCTTACAGTGCTTACTTATAGTCCTTCCTTCAAAAGATTGAACAGCCAATTTGTTAAAATGTGCTGCTCATAGATTAAGTAAATATTAGTATCATCACTTACTCACTATGGCCTTCAGGCAAATTATTTATTATTTATACCCATATTAGTCACATTAGTACTGAGTTTATGATTTGATATTGAGTCCAGCTTAGTAGATCAGGCTAGTCTATTCTTACTTCGTATATCTGTATTTGTAGTATTTGTTACATTGCATTGACAGACTTCCTTCTCCATTGAGCTTTGTACCTCAGCATCAAGAACCCTTTGTTGGAGTATTGTTAAGCTGAGGATGTTTGGTGCCTGAAATTTAGAATGGTCAGTTCTTATACTTACCTTGTTTATGTTGTTCCAGAGGTAAGGAGAAAAGAAACATTTATCCAGAATTGAACCTGAATGGTGTTTGCAGGACAAATTCAGAGAACAAAGCAGAGGTCCATGGAGCTTCTCCAGACTTACATCAAGTTCACCCATTGAATAAATACTTAGATCTTATACCATGGGCCATGACATATATTACTGAATTGCATTTTAGAACTGTAATTTTACACTTTCAAGTATAGAATTGTAAATTTGGATCACCCAGGTCAGAGACTCATTTACTGAATATCAATTTTACTGAAACACTTTGCAGCCTTCCATATTGTTAGTGTTTCTTGTGCTTAGTATCTGGGACCAACTGCTAACAGGAAGTTGTCATTTCATTGACTATTTCCAGACCTCCAGCAGTGGAAGGCACTCTGTTCGCATCACTGGCCTCAGTACTATTGATTTCCGTGCTGGTTTTTCTGGAAAACCCACCTTAGACTTCAAGAAAACAGCCAGCAGACCTGTTCAAGGTTTGTATGTGCATACTCCTTAAATTGGTATAAGCGAAAAATACTTTTCAGTCTGTGAGTTTATAATTTAATGATATCCAATAACAAAAATTGAGGAACAGCATTAGTACTCTAAGCATGATTGATGCTCTGCTCTAATTCTTGTTTCTCAAAGTGTAATCCCCAAACAAGTGCCTTCACAATTATTCAGAGAGCTTGTTAAAAGGTGAGGTTCCTGGGCTTACTCCAGTCTCCTGAATTAGGGCCAGAAAACATGAACATCCAGGCAAGGGGAACAACAAAATGGTGAGACAAAGGACAAAGTGTGAACCAGTGCAACAGCGATATTCACAAGACAATATGTAGGAAATGAACTTTACAACTTGGGGGGAAAGTTGTGTTGGGGAGCAAGTTCAGGAAAACAGAGGGGTAATACTGTTCAACAAGAAAGGAACTTTCCAACTTTGGTGGGGGGGGCAGAGCGGATTGGGGGGAGGATGGGAAGGGATGGGAAGGGGAAACAAAGGAGGAGGCTACAATGCTTGATAAGAAATACATAGACTTTCCTACATTTCTGTGGTCCTGAATAAGCTGATTATATATAGAAAGATTTTATATAGAAAAATTTTATAACTGGCCCACATCTGGTGGGGCATTCTATAGTGCTCATCTTTATGATACTTGTATATCATTATAATGTAAATATTTAGTAGATAACCACAACTGTGTGTTACTTGTAAGGGATAACGAACTCTTTCTCTTGTAGGAATACCTACCTATGTGCTGCTGAATACCTCTGGGATTTCCAGTCCAGCTAGAGTAGATCGTCTTGAGTTGCTGAGTATCTCAGGGGTTTCTCTTAAGACTATTCCTGTTAAATATTATCCAGATCGAAAACCTTATGGCATATGGAATATTTCTGACTTTATACCACCCAATGAAGCTTTCTTTCTCAAAATAACAGGCTATGACAAGGATGATTATCTCTTCCAGAGAGTGTCAAGTGTTTCCTTTTCTAATATTGTCCCAGGTGAGACACCATTCTAGCTAACCCCTCATATTGAAAGCTTAGGGGAATTATATGATTGATTATAGGATAGAAAAGACTGTGAAATAAAATGTGATATCTTGTATTACATTTAGGTAATTTGGATTTTCTTAATAGTCAAGGAGCAACTGTTATGTAAAGCCTATTAGTTGTAGGTTGGAGAATTGTGGTGAATCAGTGTAAAGACATGAACTGGAAATTTCTGTTACCCTCTCCCTAAAAAAGCCTTGATTAGGCAATTTAAATAACTAGATATTTATATATAATTATTAAATACCTTCTCATTGAACAGCAGTGGATTGTGCACAACTGGTAACCATTCTGTCTTTATTTGATTAGATAGTTACTAAGTTCTTACTTGTATATTTTCCCTTAGATAGGTCACAAATGAGATTACAGGTGAGGCATTATTTGGAAGTAACACCTCAGTTTACCTCTATTTGAACCACTTCTAAAGCTAACTAAACAGAACAAACCTTAGAACATCAGCTTCAACCATGGGCCTACAACAACATAGTAGCCTTATTTGTAAACTTGTCTGACTGCATGGGGAGACAAGTTATTATTTATATTTAGTGTATAATCTCAACCTTATGATTAACAGCTGTGACATTCATTACTGATGCCATAACTAGTATGATGAGAACAGAACTAACTTTAAGGTTTCCTCAAATGCAATTTAAATTGAATGTTAAAACATCTGTTAGGTTCCTGAAGATGTATTTCCTATTTATTATGGGAAACCTTATTCTATATATTTGATTCCCAGGTGTGTGGGTGGGTTCTTTTCATACTTTCACATATTTGAAATAAAAATGTATTCTATACTTAACAATGTATTGTAACTTATTGGATTTTTTCTATATTAGTAGTTTTAAAAAACATAGTTGTTTTAAAAGTCAAGTCTTAGATTCTGTGAATATCATAATAAGGGGCTGATGAAGATACATAGAATTTAAATCAGCGTTGAACACATTGTGTGATTTTCGGTGTTTTGGATTAATTGGGGTGTAGAGGATTACTAAATTTAAGTAAGAAGCTTTGTGAATGGATTCACAGGAAATATTCAATACCACTGTGACTTTATTGTCTATACTATTTGTTTTCCAGCTGCTCCCACAGTAACAATGCCCATGAAAACTCCAGGATATTACCTGCAGCCAGGAAGAATTCTCTGCTCTGTTGAAAGCCTTCTACCCTTTACCTTGAGCTTTGTCAGGAATGGCATTACACTTGGAGTAGACCAGTATTTCAAGTGTGTAAATGTTCCTATTTTTCAAATTATTTATACTACTAAACATATATAAAGAAATAGAAGCTTATTTCAATGCAATGTTTTCCTGGAAATTGGCATTTACTTGATTCTTGGTCTTGGAATATAACACTCAACCAAACAAATACAGGTTTGTGTCCTGATAGGATTCATTGTAACGGAGGAGTAGGGAAAACAGATACTAAACACAATACAATGATGTAATAAATGCTAAAGGTAATTCAAGGGTTTACTTGGGTGCTTTTGTGTATTTATTTAGGTACTTATTTATTGCCAGAACTGGGCTTGAATTTAGGGTCTTGGTACTGTACCTTTGCCTTTTTACTTAAAGTTAGAACTGTATCAGTTGATCTATAGCTCCACTTCTAGCTTTTTGCTGGTTAATTGGAGGTAAGAGCCTTAGAGACCTTCCTACCTGGGCTAGCTTTGAACCATTATTTTCAGATCTCAGCCTCCTGAATAGCTAAGAATATAGACATGAACCACTAGCTCCCGGTCTTTACTGGGGTTTTATAGAGTCTGGATTTTATATAATCAAAGGTCCCATTTGAAGTCAAAACAATTCTCAATCCAGTGTTTGGGAGGAGACTTTGGAAAGGGACCAAAACTTCAGCTTCATGGGCTTTGGAGTCAAAATGTGTCTGATTCTGATTTAAGTGTCCAGTGAATCTGAGTGAGGGACACTTGAGCTTAGATCTAAAGATAGGGAGTAAGATAAACAATCAGATATTCAGAGAAGAGAGTTCACATACTAGGAAGGGCAAGTACAAATTTGGGAAGGGCAAATGGACTGGGCATGTGAGAAAGGAAGATTGGACGAAGCCAGTGTATCTGCAGCCACCCCAGTGAGTAGGGTTAGGGGAGAGGCAAAGGGCAATTGAGTTTCTTGTGTGCTAGAGGTGAATGGAATTGGGGGAGGGGTTGCCAACATTTCCACATGAAGTTGAATAGCATTTAAAGACAAACAGAAGTAATATAAAGATTAAGTAGACATTGGAAAGTGGAGGAAAATGATTTCTTGAAAGTATTGCTTTTGAACCTCCTGTGAAAGAGTACATTCTCAGTAAGTCTCTAGGAATTATTTTACCAACCTTTTACATTGTTGATTCAGTGTTAACATAAGATATTAAATATTTTAGAGTGAGTTTATATAATCCTTTTATGGGGGTCATTTTACGCAAAAACTTAAGGCCTGGACGTTCCTCATAACTAGAACATTTTTCCATTCTTTCAAGTCTGAACTGTCTTATCTCCAACTCCGTACATCATCTATCTTGATGATTTACTCAGCTGCATATTTTATAATGAGCCACATAACTTACAGACCAGGATATCAAATGATGGAGCTGAATAACTGGCTGATGAAATAAAGTAATTCTGCTTCCTGTTTAAATAGTAAGATTTTTCAGAGTCATTTGAGATTCTTTTATAAACATTAATTCATTAATTCCACACAATTCCTGGGAGGTAAGCCACAAGAATTCTTTTTTTGCTCATTTTTCCAGCTTTGTGGTCCAGAGCCATGACATGGCTTGCTGACATGTACTAAGCCTTTGGATAGGAGAGTTTGGTGACAAAGTTAGGCATGAGTGATGATAGACTGATGCTCTAATCCCAATTCACTCACATGTCTCTGCCTTAGATTTCCTGATAATATAAAGCATGTGACTTAATCTCTGCTCTGTCAGTTCCTTTGGTCTTAGGGGATGTAAAAGAACACTGAGTTTGCATTAGCATTTCTAGTGGTCATGTTTTCTTGCCTGTTCCAAAGTCCATCTCTTAAACACTTCACTTATTGTGGTCACATGCTTCTTATGTCAACCAAGAAGGCTGTATGAGAGAGATTATTTTTATGTAGTATTTCAAAAAATGAGAAGGCATCAAGTTGAATGGAAAAGTCTATTCTTTAAGCAGTTAGCAAACTGGTTATGTAGCTTTCCACAAATGACTTGTTATTCAACATTTCTATTTTTTAAATGAGGGTTTGGGATCTAGAAGAATGTCCACTTTCTGACTCTGGGCACTGGTGGCTCATGCCTTGAATCCTATCAACGCATGAGGCTGAGATTTGGAAGATTGCAGTTCAAAAACAACCTGAGTATACAATTTTAGGAGACTCCTCTAAAATAACCAGCAAAACCTGGGCTGTCGGCATAGCATAAATGGTAAAACACCAGCCAAAGCAAACAAGCCAATCCAGAGTAAGAGGCCCTGCGTTCCAACCCTAGCATTGACAAAAAGAAATTTTATTTTATGTTCTAAAATTTCCATGAGCCTAAATTTTTGATGTCACCCTTTTCAACATCCTTACAAATCCCTCCCCTACCCATCCTTCTCTTCCTCTCCAAACAAACATTACATATCTACTACTATGATATTTCAACAAAATAAAAACTTTGAAAATCTGGGTGTAGAGCTTACATGGTAAAGCACCAGTTGAGCAAGCCTTTAGGTCGTGAGTTCAAACCCCAGTGCCACAAAAAGATAATAACTTGAATATTGTCAAAGGACAAGGAATAAATGCCTCTTAAATGGATGAATATAAAATAGAGCAAATGGTTGATAACTTAGATGACAGACTGAGGCTGACTATAAAATGAATCATTTTTTCTTTCTTCATCATTCATGTAAATTTACCCAATGGTTTCCATATAAGCTCAAAATAGAGCTTATATATAAGTAACTTTAATGGATGTAATCGTCTTAAATCAAAGAGTTGATTTAGTATCTTCACATTTGTAAATTATGTGATCTGATTGATTAGTCTATTATCCTGGTCAAAAACTAGAAATGATAGAATGATATTTAACAATTGTTTCTTTTTCAGCTCTGTGAGTTTCTATTTTGACATAGGCCAACAGTGATTTCCTGTAGAAATCTAGTCTTCATCTTTTCTTGTTTTTGTTGGATCTTTTCTCAGAGTAGAAAATCCTACTGGTCTGGTTAAAATGCAAAAGAGTTGTAGCTGGGTGCCAGTGGTTCATGCCTGTAAACCTAGCTACTCAGGAGGCTGAGTTCAGAGCATCTCAGTTCAAAGCCAGCCAGGACAGGAAAGTCCATGAGACTCTTTGTCTGCAATAAACCACTAGAAAAACAAAAGTGGAGCTGTGGCTCAAGCGGTGGAGCGCTTACCTTGAGCTGAGGAGTGCAAGGACAGAGCCCGAGCCCAGAGTTAGAATCCCACGACCGACAAAAAAAAAAAAAAAGTAAAGTAAAAGTTGTAAAATGTAACTTTTAAAAATATATCTGTTGCTTTATCTAATTGTTTTCTACATTTTTCTTTTTTTTATTATGAAACTACCATACAGAGGGGTCACAATTACATGGGCAAGGTCATGAGTACATTTCTTATCAAGCATTGTTCTTTTAAATGAATCCATCAAGAAGAAATAATTGGATAAGCTTTCAACTTGATCTCACTGTTACATCAACTATTTATTTATTTATTATCATTTTATTCCCCCCAGAGAATCTGCCAGTGTGAACTGGGATATTGAAAAGGTGACTCTGTCTGACGAAGGCTCCTATGAATGCGTTGCTGTCAGCAGCGCAGGGACCGGGAAGGCACAAACATTTTTTGATGTATCAGGTAATTGTCACTAACTTCTTTACAGTCATATGAGTATTAATTTACCTATGGAAGTGAGATGCTGGTACTCCGTTTGCTTTGATACAATTGCCTTTATGATTGTTCTGTAATTGTCTGTCTTCCCCACTGAATTGTGAACTCAAATCTTGGCTTCACTATATTCAAGTTGTGTGATCTTCCTTTCATTATTATTTAAAGACTCAATACCTTTGTTCCATAACTATAAGATAAGGATATTAACAGCAGTCTCAATGTATGTATGTAGGTATATATGTATGTATTATATATACACATATACATGTGTGTGTGTGTGTGTGTAACCTAGAAGATACCCTGGCCCATAGATACACTTGATATGAGACAGCTATTGCTATTAGATTATCATTACTACCATTATTGCAGAGGTTTAATAAATGTATTTTGAAATAACCATTTGGCATTTCCTATTCAGAAAATAGTCTAAGGAAAGGATCTGTTCTGAAAATGGTATGGTCAAACTTCCGCTTTCTCCCATGTTCATGATGAACTGAGAACTCTTATAAAACAACTCTGACTTTTGTATTGAAGTTCGTAATGGAAGTGGGTGATCATTTTCTAGGAAGAGAGACTGACGTGGTGCTGCAGTACCACTACTACATTACGACTTAGTACCAGCACTACAGAATGACTTAGTGCTAGTATTGAGAACATGAGCAGTAGTACTCATTATTTTATATCCAGATAGTAGATTTCATGTGACTCCGTGGGAGGCAGGATTATAATATTTTGTAAGGTAAATACATTGAAGTGAAATTCTTTTCCATTTAACCTCCCAGAATTCTTAGGACAAAAAAAACTACCTTGTAATAATCAATGATCAGGATTAAGCCTTTTAACTCATCATATATCTTTAATTTCATTAAAAACTTCTATTTTGACTATAGTACTTTCTACCTGCTGTGTTGATGCCAGATATTTAATGGTAAACTCTTCTGATGTAAGTGTCACTGCTGTTAGGCTTATAAAAATGTCTGTAAGTTTGTTTGTTTGTGGTATTGGTGTACATTTTCCTGAGGTAATTTTAAGACATGAAAAAAGTTTTCCAACTAGAGAATTGTTTAAGAACCTGTCTGCCAGCATGTACTCTTTGCAGTAAAACTCTTTTTCTTTCCTTTTTTTTTGGGGGGGAGGATCTGGTAGGGGGTATCAGTCATGAGGCTTGAACTCAGGGCCTGGGTGCTGTCTCTAAGATTGTTTTACTCAAGGCTAGCACTCTATCACTTTGAGCCACTGTGCCACTTCCATTTTCCTGGTAATTAATTAGAGATAATACTTTCCTGCCCAGGCTGGCTTTGAACCATGATCCTCAGATCTCAGCCTCCTGAGTAGCTAGGATTACAGGCGTGAGCCACTGTGCCCAGCCCCATATTTTTGTTTGTACAAGAGGATTCCATCTTGACATGTCCATATATACATACAACATACCTTGATCATACTCACCCCTTCATCACTGTCCCTCGCATTTCCTCCCCCTTCCCAAATGAGTCTCAATGAGGGTTATTGTCTCATATGCACATGTGCACATAAAGTATTTTGACCATATTCACCCTCCCAGTAAAACTATTTGCATTCTCTTATTCTTAGAAAAATAAAGTTTGTCCTCTAAAAGAATTTAGCAAGTTGACATACAAACGATTCATTTCTTCATCCCCAGAAGTTTGAAAAGCACTGGAATTATGTCAACATTCCTTAGCTTCTGGGAAAACAAAACACTTGAGCACTTGAGTATTTTTCCCAGCAATATTAATTAAGAGAAAGACAAGAGAGAAAGAGGCGTGGGCAGGTTGATCCAGAAGGCTTACATAAATGCCTTGGAAGTGTCAGGAAAAACTTCTGACTACGCTGTTCGGAGCTTAGCTCTTTCGTATGGTGACTTCTACATATGTACTTTATTCCTGCCCTTCTAACATTCACTGGTGTCAGCTAGGTAATTACTGTGCCCACACCAATTATCAGGAATTATTTCCCACCCTGTGGATTAGGAAAGGAAGTGCCAGAAGTGCCAATGGTAGTAACAGTTCCTATGATGGAAAAACTAACAAACTAGGGCCCCCATGGATTTGACATTTCTTTAAGAAACAACTCCATGTTGAACACACCTGATTTTAACATCCACCTACGTCTGAATTTCTCTTAGCCTAGGCTGAGGTCCCAGTTCAGCCACCCTTCTGAAGTTGCCTATCAGCATCTAGGAATCAGGTGCCAACCCCCAGAAAAATCAGATTTTGGATTTTCCTAAGGAGTATGGGGGAATGAGACATTATGGGATGGTGATTCTTGTGTCACTGTGGACATTCATGTGTTATATAAAGTAAGAAAGCATCTGAGAGCAGTTTACAGAGAAGCTTAAGTTCTACCAATTTATTGCTCAATAGTTTTTCAACGCTTTGTTGAAAAACGTGTTTTAGGAGTTTGAATCACTTGAAATGGTAGGCATGGTTGTTTTAAATGAAAAATGAGTGTAGCAAGCATTTTCTTTTTCTTTTACTGAGTATAAGTGTATAGAAAATATTGAATGACGTTTTAGCAGTTTGTAAGAATCATTCTTTTAAAAGGATAGTTTGATTCAATACTATTACAAAGTTATATTCATTTCCTATGCGGTTTTTCTTGACACACAACCCCTCATTCAACACCCCTCCCCTAGTACTAAAATTCTTGGTTTAAATTAAAATCTGAATAAAGAAAACTTATCAAAGGTATGTGCATGACAGGAAACTCTCCATTTTAGTTATAGGATATGCTTTCAGAAAAGAATAAAACAGAAATAATGTAATACCTCATTGTTTTTTTAGGTAAAAGTGAGAAAAGGCTACAGAGAGCAAGTGACCCATTCATGACCAGATAGAGAGTAGTTAGTAAACTCCTGACCTGCCACCTCCATCTCAGGACCCAGGTTAAGTCATGTGGGTTGAACTCCTTCCTACCTTGGGACTGAGGGCCTTCTCTGGTCCCCATATGCTAGGCTTAGTAGTCACTGTACATTGTTATTACAGATTAGTTCTGGTAAACTGTAATCCTGGTCTCCTTCTCCAGCTTCCATAATTCTTCCCCATCTTCCCCCATCTCTCTCAGATTTATTCACACATGTATGAATGTGCTGGCATGCATAATTTTTACTGTCTGCAGACATTTGTGCAGCAGCAGGGTTACATATCATTTCAGATCTTACTTGTCAAACTGCTCTGTTAACATTTTTTCATTTTGTTTAATTTATAGTTGAAGAGGGACTAGACTGTGAGGCATAGCTTTTGTGCAAGCATGTAATTGGGGAGTTCTCTAGGGCAAAGCACCTGTAAGGGGGAGGGGAAAGGAAGACATCACCTGTGATGTTGTTGTCACAAGGGCCTCCTTTGACCCTTCAGACAGCTCAGGGGGGGTGGGACAGCTCTGAATTGAGAAAGAATAACTAGGCGTCCATTCCATCATTAGGTGGTCTGAATGTATTGTAAATGTTGCATGAGACATATCCATGCATGCTATGCGTAATTAAAGTATTATTTGTATTTTTTTCCTTGATTATGGCCATTCTTATCCTCACTAATGTATACTTCTCAAAAGTCTCAGGGATGGGCTGGGAATGTGGCTAAGTGGTAGAGCACCAGCCTAGCATGCATGAAGCCCTGGGTTCAATTCCTTGGTACTTCATAAACAGAAAAAGCTGGAAATGGAGCTGTGGCTCAAGTGGTAGAGTGCTAGCCTTGAGCAAAATAAGCTCAGGGACAGGGCCCAGGCCCTGAGTTCAAGCCCCAGCACTGGCAAAAAAAAAAAAAAAAAACAGCTCAGGGATGAATTTGATCTCGAATGTCTTCATGCTTTCATATTTTAACTACAGCAGGCATATGGGTTTCCAACAAGCCATAGTAAGCTTAGTTTCCATTGCTACTATATTGTGAAAGATGGCTAAAAGAGAATATTTTAAAGCATTTAAAGAGTGAGATATCAAGAAGGAATTTGATTCATGCTTACTATTAACTCAAGCAATCTGTGACTCTCTAAGGGTTAAATAATTAGCAATTAGGTTTTGAACAATCTTTTGTGCTCATGGTTCTAAGTGGGCAGTTTTGTTATAGGTCTGTCCCTATTATTATTAATTATTTTTGTCAGTCCTGGGGCTTGAACGCTGGGCTTGGACGCTGTCCCTGCGCTCTTCAGCTCAAAGCATGCACTCTACCACTTGAACCATAGCACCACTTCCAGTTTTCTAGTGGTTTATTGAGATAAGAGTCTCACAGACTTTCCTGCCTGGGCTGGCTTTGAACCGTGATCCTCAGACCTCAGCTTCCTATGTAGCTAGGATTAAGGACATGAGCCACCGGTGCCCAGCTACTGTCCCTATTCTTTCTTAGATCAAATTGCTTCTCATTCCTGATAAGAGGACATTGATCACTCTACTGTTGTACAGTGTCTTCTTGTGAGATTGCAGCCCCTCTTAGAGTTGATACTGTCTGCCATCCTGTGTGTGTTACATTCTTGAAAACACTGAGTATGTATTTTAAGGTTAAAAAAATGATACCCAACGTTAAAACTGACGTTTAAAAATTTGCCTCATTTAATAAGTTCAGTGGTAATACTACATCTTACTCCTAAATATTCAGAGCCCTGTATTGGTGGCTCACTTTCCCTTAATCCTAGCTTCTCAGGAGACAGAGAGCTAAGGATCATGATTCATAGTCAGTCCAGGCAAGAAAGTCCTCAAGACTTATCTGCAACTAACTACCCAAAAAGTTGGACATGGGTGGTAGAGAACCAATTTTGAGCAAAGAGAAAAAAAAACTCAGGAACAGCACCCCAGCCTTGAGTTCAAGCCCCAGGACTAGCACCCCCCCCAAAAAAAGTTAATACACAATTCTTAAGGAGTGCCTATAAAAGATCTCTAAGTGTTTTGATTTTAGTCTTTTGATTTTATTCAGAGCCTCCTCCCATCATCCAAGTGCTTGAAAATGTTACCATCACTCCTGGGGAGACCGCAGTTTTGACATGTCTTGTCACCAGTGCTGTGGATTACAATCTAACCTGGCAGAGGAACAGCAGGGATGTGAGACTGGTGGAGCCTGCAAGGATCAGGATGTTGGCTAACCTCTCCCTGGAGCTAAGGAGTGTGAAAATCAGCGATGCGGGACAGTACCATTGTACAGTTTCAAATGAAGGTGGATCGGCAGCAGCTTCTGTTTTTCTCACAATACAAGGTACAATACGTTTGGTAACTTCCAAAGTACAGCATCCTCTATCCTCTTTGATCTTTATCCTGCCCTGAGAGCTGCCCAACTTGTTTCTAGTGATACAATGCATGGGGTTCCTTAGCTGTCTAAGAGCCAGCTAGGCTGGAAATTAAATATCACGACAAATAAAGTAATTTTACCACTATCATGCCTAATCTGTCAGTTGAAGATGTCTATTGTAAGGCAATATGAAAATCATCTCTGAATATGTTAATAGATTTCAATTTTATAATTGGTCATGTGGACTTTTATAAAAGTTTTGTTTTATAGTAGCTTTAAAAATTACTTTCCAATTTAAGTATTATCTCATTACATATATGATTTACATTTTTGCCTTTTAAGTTAAATAAATGTTCTCACCAATATATTTTAAATGACATTTAAATTGCTTCTCATTTTGAAAGTTAAATCATTGTTAACCTTTTTTTTTTTGGTTGGTCATGGGGCTTGAACTCTGGGCCTGGGTACTGTCAGCTATTCAGCTCAAAGCGAGCATTCTATCACTTGAGCCACAGTGCCACTTCTGGCTTTTTCTGCTTATGTGGTGCTGAGGAATTGAACCCAGGGCCTCACAAGGCAAACACTCTCTACCACTGGGCCACCTTCCCAGCCCCCTAATTTTTATATACATGAATATTTTTATATACATGAATACTCACATTTTATTTTAAGTAAAGCAATAGTTAATCTTGAATTGTGCCCATGTTGACTAAAAGTTCAGATAGTGTCTTGCTTGTATGGCTACAAAGCATATACACTATTCAGAACTATCAAATGAAGGTAGTTTTTCTTTCAGTAGAATGATTTGACTTGTACATGTTTGCGGAAAAGCTGAAAGCCTTAATGTAGTGAGCAAATTACTGTCAGCAGTCCTTCATTGTTAAGCTGAATTATTTGGTTACTCCTTTCACAAAATCTTTAATTGTAAATCATCCATGTGGGAGACTGATTTCATCAGACTTGGTCTGGCTATTTGATTATGGTATTAGAAACAACTTTATAACATACTAAAAATAATACTCTTGGATACATTTTAGTAAGGTTATTTAAGAAGATCCCAGGATAGCAATTTTGAGGGGCTTTCATCATGAATGGATATTGAATTTTGTCAGAAACTTTTTATGTATCTATTGAGTTAAACATGAACTTGTTGCTTCTTATTCTGTGATGTGCATTATTATATTTAATTGTTTATGTTGAATCATCCTTATAGCTCTGGGATAAAGTCAACTTGAGCATGGTTGAAAAAAAAAGAAAAAGATACCATTGCATTTCAATTATTCTTAGAATGTTATTAATGACAGAAAAGTGAATGAGAATGAACAAAATGATTGACATCTGACTAGTTTCCTCCTTGGTAGCCAAACTGTATTCTGCAGTTTGAATATGGTCTTTTGTTAGTTAATTGGGTGAAACTCTAGGGAAACATTGCATTTATAATTAATTCACTCCATTTTCCACTGGTACATGCCTAGATGGTTTGAGTCAATTCAAGCAGAAACTTGGTTTTCTAGATGAAGTCTCTTAGAATAGTATTATAAAGCAAAATCAGTGATATTTTTTTGTTTCCTCAAGCTAATTTTTTGGTCCATCAGTATTCTCCTTAGTGTACTAATGGATAAGAATTCTCAAGCTTTTATGGGTGAAGAAATGTTCAAAGAACTTGTTTGTTTGAGACTATAGCTATGACTCAAGGCCTAGACATTGAGACATAGAACAGAGCTATCAGGGATCCTATTCTCCACCCTGCCTCTACCACTGTGCGCATCTGGTAGGAACTGGGGAAAGTGTCCTTCCTAGTTCACAGTCTTAGGACTATAGCTGCAGGTGCAAAGTCCTGGCTTCCCTTGAACCTGTCCTTCAGGAGCTAGGAAAGAGTCTAGCTGCTTCCTGCAGTTTTAGGGTTGTAGCTACAGTGCAGTAATGCCCTCAAGAATCAGACCTCATTGGTGCTCACCCAGTAGGAACTAGCAATTTCCTTCCCAGCCCATAATGTTAGGACTGAAGCTGGTGGTGTAGAAGGCATTACCCAAGCTTGTCTCTAAGGAGCAGGGGAAGTCTCCATCTAAGTCTTTCAGCTTCAGATTTTGGCTACCAGTTCCATAAGCCTTGTTCTTCATAAGAGCTTGTCCTACATGACCTACAGGCCTCCTATCCATGACCTGAAGCTTCACAACCACAGATACCAGTGCCACAAGCCCCAGTACCACGCAGGCTCAACTCATAAGATATTAGAGGCTAAATTACTATAGTTTACAGATGATAGGATTTTATATTAGGCAAAGACTCAATCAGAAAAGCTATTAGAACTTATAATCAAATTTAATAAAGTTATAGGATAAAATTAACACAAAAAGTAACATTTTCTACACTAGAATCTTGTTGGAGAAGAAAATTTTGCTTATTGGAAAACACTCTGAAGCACAATAGCTGCTAAATAGAATAAATTTAATGACAAAAGTGAAAATTATAGATCAATGATGAAAAAGGGTAAAGATACCAAACAATAAAAACATATGTGTTGCTTATTGATTGATAGGCTTAAAATTGTTAAAATGATCCTATTACCCACAGTAATCTATAATCAATGTAATTCCTACTGAAATCAATGACTTCTTTTACAGACATAGAATTCTGTTCCAGAAAACCAAACCAAACCAAAATAATAATGGAGACATCATTAAAATACCTGATTTTAAAACATACTATAAATCTATAGTTACTAAACCAGCATAGTACTACCAAAAAAATTGACACATAGCTCAATGGATAGGATAGAAACCCAGACACTGTTTTCAAATACCTAACAAGAGCTCCAAATAATAGAATAAAGACTTCACTAACTTGCCTTGGCACTAGGGTCATTCATGCACAGTTAATGTAACTAGAAAATGTCTTTTCACCTTACACACACACAAACAAAATACCTGTGAAATGGGAAACTATGTAATCTCTTTAAAAGAGGGGAACATTTTGAGACATTGTGTATGGATTCCTTTTTTTTATTATTGTGAGAATACCACAATACAATTACATGGGCAAGATAATGAGTACATTTCTTATCAAACATTGTTGCCTCCTCTTTGTTTCCCCTTCCCATACTCCCCCCACGTCCCCCAACCCGATCCTCCCCCCCACACCAAAGTTGTAAAGTTTGTTTTTCAACATAAGGACTTGTACATCTCATTGTTGCAATGGGTCCACCTGTATCCCTAGTTAAATGATTTGTTTTTGCCCTTCTCCTCCACAAATTATACCAACATCAAATACAGTGAAAGCAGAGGTTATATCATGGGAGAGGGACATACAAAGCAACATAGAAATCATCTTATAAATATGTTAGAAACAATTTCATGAAAGAAAAAAAACATTTAAATACGTATCTTGGGGTTCATTCCCCTAACATCAACTTATCTGATATTTTCTGCTTGTCTCAGACATATACTAGTTATTGAAAATAAGGGAAACCATGAGACCTATGTTTCTTTGGGCCTGGCTTACTTCACTTAATAGAATTTTTTCCAAATTTTTCCATTTCCTAACATATGATGGGGCAATGTCATTCTTTCTGATGGAGGCATAGAATTCCATTGTGTATATATAGCACATTTTCTTGATCCATTCATCTACTGAGGGGCATCTGGGTTGGTTCCATATCCTAGCTATAGTAAATAATGCCGCAATAAACATAGTTATACTGGTAGCTTTAGTATGGTCTTGTTTGTGACCATTTGGGTAAATGCCCAAAAGTGGGATTACTGGGTCTTAGGGGAGCTCTATGTGGAGTCTTTTGAGGAACCTCCATACTGCTTTCCAAAGTGATTGAACAAGAAACAACTGCCCAATAAATAAGTAGGCTAAAGACTTAAAGAGAAACTTCTCTGAAGAGGAAAGAAGGATGGCCAATAGATACATGAAGAAATGCTCAACCTCTCTAAGCATAAAAGAAATGCATATCAAAACAACATTGAGATTCCACCTCACCCCAGTTAGAATGGCTATAATCAAGAACTGTAATAACAACAGATGCTAGAGGGGATGTGGACAGAAGGGAACCTTACTTCATTGTTGGTGGGAGTGTAAACTTGTTCAACCACTATGGATTCCTTTTTAAAATATGACCCCTAAAGGCACTGGCAACAAAAGTAAAACCAGAAAAATAGTATTGTAGGAAACTGAAGCATCTACACAGCAAAGGAAAATTGTCAACAGAATTAGGAGATCACCTACAGAACAGTAAAACAAATGTCAACTATTCATCCAACAACAGTAACAAACCACCAAGCCCCACACTCCTTGTAAATTCACAAAACAAATAATCTAATTTTAAAATGAGATACAGAGTAGAGACTTCTTTAAAGACATACAAGTGATCAATGAGTATATCAAAAAAAAAGCTTGGGCTCACTACTCATTAGAAAATGTGAGTCACGGGGCTGGGAGGTGGCTCAGTGGTAGAGTGCTTGCCTTGCATGCATGAGGCCTTGGGTTCAATTCCTCAGCACCACATAAGCAAAAAAAAAAAAAACCACCGGAAGTGGTGCTGTGGCTCCAGTGGTAGAGTGCTAGCCTTGAGCTGAAGAGCTGAGGGACAGCGTCCAAGCAGGCCCCAAAACCGTACCCCCCAAAAAAAATAAAAAATAAATAAAATGTGAGTCAGAACCAGAATGAGATCCCATCTCACTCCTCTTAGAATGGCTATCATAAAAAATGCAAACAAACAAAAAAATAAGAAATCCTTACTACTGTGAGGGGAATGTAAATCATTGTAGCCATTATAAAAAGCATTAAGGAGATTTCCCCCAACAAATTTAAAAATATTGTTATTCTTTGATCCAGCAATTCCACTAAGGAGTTTATTCCCCAAGGAAATGACACCATCAAACAGAAATATGCATTCCCAGTTATTGTGCCACTATTCATAGCAGTTAAATATGGAAACAACCCAGCTGCTCATCAGTGGGTGA